TCCCATAGCCCAGTTTTCTTTGGGCTTTCCTTTTTCTTGCTGATTTCCAAAAAAACGTTTTATAATATATATTAATCCCTTTCCAGTTTTAGTCACTGCAAATACCCTCTGGGTTTGCCACCTGTTAGTTTTGACTGTGATGGCTGTTGAATAGAAATTCTTATCTTTGATAGAGCTAAATCCATCCTTACCCTTCCCTTGCATTTGGTGCTTGGGTGTGGGGTTTAAAAGATGATCAACTTTAGGACAATTTTAAAAGGAAAAAAATTCTGAAGCTATGCTTAAGAATATGATCACATACAGAATTTATTTTCTCCAAGCTGCAATTTGTAAAACACCCATCTTAATTTACCTCTACTTATCAATACCTAATTTAGGGATTCTTTTTCCTTTTTTTCCAAGACTACATGGTAAAGAAGGAAGGAGACCACTTGAATTTATTTCTTTTTTCTACATAAAGCTTTAAAATTTAAAACTGTACATAGCTTTAAATTTGCATAAAACTCTGTCATCCAGAAAGAGACTGAATAAAAGATTTATATGTATATTGCAAATCCTAGGAACCTAAAGAGTTACTACTGCCTTGACAAAGAAACCAGATTTTTTTTCTTATACTACAAATATTTATGAAACAGTAGGTGCTGTGTGGGGTTTTCTTTGTTGGATTAGACATAAACATAGAAATACAGAAAGTAAACACAAGACCCCTCATGATCCACGTTCAAGGAGATTTAGGAGTGGAGCAGATAGGCTGATGGACAACAAGGCCACAGAAGGCTAAAGAGGATAGTGTCATTTGAACATTAGGGACAACGGCCAGTAACTTCCAAAAAATTCTGTTTTGCTGCCATGACCTAAATAACAAACTTTACAAGGTTGGGTAGAGCCCATTAAACGTTTAAGTGGTTGTCTTTTTGAATCTAAAATCTAGGTAATGAATTAAGCTTGTGCCAGGAGGAGATGGACTCTTAGGAGAAAGTGCTGTCTGGTTCCTGCAGTTAAAGTCACATGTTATCACAGGCACGAGGAGGATTAATCCTTCCGGAGTTGCCTCCTTCAAAAACTGATTATCAGGAAAAGGGTGGAAGATGGTATCAAAATTATCAATTATAAACCCAGGAGGACAGTGAGAGGAGCCAGTCTGGGACTTTCTAGAAATAATACAGTGAAAGAGTTCGTCCCACACTGGGAATTAGGGGGGTGCTCAGTCTTCGGGTGAACCTGGCCACAGACCAACTTTTCCCTCTTCTCCTTTTCTCAGGCGAATATAGTCCTTTTCTCTCCCTTGAGTTTCTGTGTTTAAACAAGAAGTCCATCTTCTGTACCCATCCCCACCATTGTTCTGTGAGGGGGTTTCAGCAGTTTTCCTCAGGGTGCAAGTCTTAAAGCTGGGCCTTCTTGTCTGGCTCTCGGACACACAATGGGGCTGTTGACAGAAATGTTTAAGTGGCCGTGAAGTCTGGAGCCCAGATGCAATCCACCTGCCCGACAGGATCAAAGATGATGGGCACAGATAGAAGGCCAAGAAGTTCGACCTCCAGCCAGGTTCTTGTCAGCCTTAACGGATGCGCTAACAGAAAGCAGGAGGGAGAGTTGAGTTTGCTGAAGACAAAGGAAAACGTGACCACTCAATCAACCCTTCTTCTGTTAACAGGCTGGGGCCAGCAGGCTCCCAGACAGGATGGGGCTGGGGAGGACCCTTGGGGTGTAGGATTCCCTCCGGGCGGGAGGCTCAGCTCCAAGCAAAGCCCCAATCTATACACACTGGGCTTTGGGAGAAAGGGTGCTCCTAAGCTCCTGTGTCTTTGATGACTTTTGGTTAGAAGATACTGTCTCAGACAGAGATGACATTCCCGGCTCCCAGGACAGTGAGAGCACCACAAACCCCTCTATGCAATCCATTAGCATTTTGGGATCTCGGGGTGGGGGGGTGCCGGGAGGATCTACTTGTGCATTCCAGACTCAATGGGGGAACGGAAACAGATGAAACACCAAAACCCAACTGTCGCCTTGCAGGTCTGTTAACAAGGGCAGTCTGCTGGAAACAGGCACTTATTTCTCTTCCAAGAAGTGGAATAAAATGTAGATATCTCTAGAATGCTGAGATATAATTTAATGTACTTACCCTCAGGCACAGAGGCCTGTATTCACTGCGTTGCCTCAAGAATTATTTAAGCAGGTTTTAATGTTACTGTTCCTTCCTGTGGTCAGTGGCTGGGGTTCCCTGCCCTGCACTCACTGCCCTCCACACATTCCCACTTGGTTCTGCCTCCCCCGAACCTGCCCCGCTTTCATTCTCGTTATTCTTAACAGCCGGTCCTCTTCCTTCCCATCTGTCTTTATCATCTATTTTCAGGTTATGGCTCAGGCCCTTCCTCCTGGAGCCCTATTTAGACATTCTCAAACAGCTGAAAAAGAAGGGCAGCTTCTAATAGTTGCTGGCAGCATTAATAACGGGATTCATGCTTCTCTGGAAATAAGCCAATGGCTTTAAACTAAGATCTAATTGCAAAATGGTGTCATATAAGGTCAGCAATTATTTTACTGCTTATAAGACAAAAATACATAAAGCTTGATCATTTCTTTTCCTTTTATGTATATATATATATAGTTAATATGTGTTTTAGTTGCTCAGTCGTGTCTGACTCTTTGTGACCCCATGGACACACCAGGCTCCTCTGTCCATGGGAATCTCCAGGCAAGAATACTGGAGTGGGTTGTCTTTCCCTTCTCCAGGGGATCTTCCTGACCCAGGGATCGAACCCAGGTCTCCTGCATTGCAGGCAGATTCTTTACTGTCTGAGCCACCAGAGGTATAGTTGATGGGCGCTTTAAAATGACAATGTTATAAACAGTAGCTTTTCAATGGCCTTTATTGTTGATGAATGGCTAACACCGTATTACACCGTGGTGAATGTTTCTCCTCATGAAATATTTGGGTTTCCAGCTGAAGGACACTGGGACCCCTCCCTCCACAGCAGAGCCTCACTATACGCATGTCAAATACAGCAAACGCATGGAGTGTGTAGTCAGACTCAGACAATTTATTTTACTGAATTGAGATTCAAGTTCAACTAAGCATTCTAATGGATAACAAGATTCAAACATCAGAGAAAAATTTTCTCTTTAAAAATCACAAGCAAGCAAGCTCACACATCTATGGACTGCAAGATGAACTTCCATTTTATTCTCAACACCCATCCGTGTGGAGTGTCGCAAGGTGAGGTTGCCAAACACAGAAAATGATACGACAGCACAATTCCCCGAGGGTAATTATTCTTTGAATGGAAAACATCATTTAAATCAAAAACATTTAGAGATGCTCCTTTAGTTTGTTAATTCCTAACCTCGAAATAAAATCTTAGTAACAGAACACAGAATTCTCCTTGGTTGGTCACCTCATTCACTATGGAAGAGGACAATCAATAAAAATCATAAAAAAACAAAACCCTGAAAGAGAAATAAATAACTAAATAATTTACTCATAGGTAGTTCTGCTGCACTCATTGCACATAACCACACAAAATTCTAAAGCTGATTTTTTTCTTTTAAAGTTTGGAAAATGCAGTTGCCTGTTTGAGTTTCTTGCTAAGTGGTGCATGCTTCTTAGGAGAAGTATCCTATATAGGCCTGAGCTTCAGATTCAAACACCGGGTACTCTAGACCTGCCTGGGTGCACAGATGTGGTGACAGGACAGCAAGGGATCGCCCCGGCTTCCAGGGTCGGGAGCTTCAAAGCCAGTGGTTTAGGGTGAGAATGTGCAAAAACCACTGGGACCAATCAGTCTGTTTGTACTTTTACTGTGATGTCCTCGCAGGGACTATAAAATCTTCAGCAACATTCTCTGGAGGTTTAAAAAGCAGCAGCACAGATAGGACGATGAACGTTTACTTGAGGAATCTTTCCACCAAACAGAGAGGTAACACAGAACACTGCTCTTTGCGAGGTTTTCAGCAAGTTCCCTCCCAGCCATCCGATTTCTCCTGCTTTCTGTCACTAAAAGCGTTCACACTTTACTGCCTTCTTGGCCAGCCCTTAATTGACATTATTTCTTTGCTTCCTGAATTAGGCCCCTCCCGTGCCTACAGATGTCACAACAGGGCAGAATGAGTGCCCCCCCAACCCTGCACCCTCTCAACAGCAATGTTTTAAATTTGGGTGGGGGGAGGAGGGAGTATGTTACCTGGTTTATTAGAAAACCAATCTTGAAAAGAACTGACAGAAAAAGATAAGTGAGATTCTGGGGCATCCACAACTGTTTTCAGATTGCACTTGAGTCATGTCTCTGGCCCTTCTTTCTGTGCTCACGCTGGTCACAGGTACGTCCCTGAATAGAGAAGGCGCTGGGTATCCGTTCCTGAACGGACCGTCTGTGGAGGCTCAGCAGCGTCCTCTGTAAAGGGACCCTGATAAGTGTCTGAGGCTCTACCGGCCACATGTGGTCTCTGGTGTGTACTGGTTACTTTTTTTCCTTTAATGACCTTAAAAAAACTGAAAACACATTCTAAGCTCAAGAGTCTCCCAGATTTTCCCTGTGGGTGATGGCTTGCCAAGCCTCTGCTGGGAGTTCTTTGACCGGGTACACAGCTCCGAACTGTGCAAAGTACAAGGCCACTGTGCCTTGGGATCCTGATCTGGGGGACTTCTTCTGGAGACTGAGATAGGTCCTGGCAGACAGATGTCAAGCTTGGATCTTCCATGCTGGTCTCCGCTGCACTCCCCAAACGTACAGAGCTGGACCACATTAGCATTCTTTATCTAAAAAGTGGCTGTTTATCGTAGGTCTTAATTTACACCCATTTAAACCTGTACCTGTGCTAGCTTATTCTTGCCGTGATCTGAAACGCAAAATCACATGTTCCAGGTGCTGGGAAATTTTCATCCTGCAGGTTAGGGCCTTACTACTCCACATGGCTGGTGGTAGAAAAGCTAACGTGTAAACTTACTTCTTGTGCACCACTAATGCCACCCGCAGTCCACAGGGCAACCCTTTAAGAAGTCAAGGAGAAGCATCCCAGCTCTCTACTCCAGGGTACTCTTGACACAGCTCATGCATGGCTGCGACTTGAAAAAGGACAGTGTTTACCAGGAGCCAAGGAATTAAAACAGCTGGAGAGTAGCATTTCAGAGGCTGGATTTTTTTGAGAGATATCTGTCTCCATCCTCTCTGAAAGAAGTCTCTCTTCTTAGCATCATGAGATGCTATGACACCATCTAGCTCCTCCAACCTTCTTGATATCTGAGAGGCAAACTTTCTACCAACAATTTTTCTATCATTAGAATATTCACTTTGAGCAGAATCAGAGATTTGCATTTCTTTCATAAATCTGTAAGCTTTTAAGTTATCAACATATAGTATGTCAGGTTTTTAAGTAATTACTAGACAAGATGAATATCCAAACTTTTTTCTAAATTAAGGGCTTAAGAACCTGAATTCTTACTGTCATCAGTGATTCTTTTAAATAGCAGCTGATGACTCTCAAAATATAAATCTGTTACCAACTAGACTGATTTAGCTGCTCTGGAGTTAAGAAACAGTCTAGGGGCGTGCATGCATGTGTATGCACACGCACGCGCACACAAACACCCATCATCTAAACAATTATGTATGAGAATGTCCGAAGTTTCTGAACTAAATGAATAGGTGAAAAACCACCCATCTCACAGACACCAATCCAGCTGTCCTTTTTATGTTTTTGTTTGAAATGTCAAACTTGTTTTCCTCAAAATGTGAGTTGATTCTTCTTTCTCTTAGTCCTGTGGCTTTACAGTGGCCCTGCCAGCACCACCTCGACCAAAACAGTCAAGCCAAGTCTCTGAAATATGAGGGCAGGAGGGATACCAACTTGAAAGTGGAAGAAACCAGAGCACAATTAAATAACCACAAATGAATGAGAAATACGGACATGTCAGTTGGCAGACACCAGCTCCAGTTCTAACAACGTTAAAACCAGTGAAACTATGAATTTTCCAACTCAGTCAAAAACATAGTGTTCTAAGGGCACTGAAAGATGGGATGAAGGAAGTAATTGCCCGTGGTTGGTATCGAGGACTGACTTTTTTTCTGAATGAAATGAAATGCAACAGTAGATGATGAAGCATGTGCTTTTAAAAGTGACGGCACTGCACCCCCTCACTCTCTCCCACTGGTGTTTCACACACACACAGCACTCTGGTTGTTTTCACATTTTTTCAGGTCTCTTCCTGTCAATTTTAAAAACTGTTACCTCTTGGTGCCTATACCTATCTACTGTGGATATAAATGGCTCTGGCTTTTTAAACCTACAAAGCAATGAAACAGTAAAAGGCCTGAACAATAAATAAAACTAAGCATCTCCCTCTTTAGGTGAGAGCTTTCAAGACAGAAACAGGGATGATCGGTCCAGTGAGAACGTGTTCTGGTTCTGTGAAAGAGTCACCCCTCGGTTCCACCTCCCCTGACAGAGGACAGTCTGCTGTTTTCCTCCAGTATCAAACTGCATCTGTTTAAAATTGAATATGCCTTAGAGAACAACCAAATATTGTTACAATTTTTGGCAGATATTTTACGCAGCAAAAATGAAGTGATGCTCCCTTTTCCTGACTCCTCCATTTAAAGCTGTACATAGAACAGCTGAACACGATACTTCCAGGACAGCGGAATCTGCGAACAGTGGGGTTTGGTTTTGTTTCCAGGAACAAAGAGGGAAAAGAAAAACAAAACTAAGTGAGAATGAAGAGGAGAAACCCTGAGGCGAAAATGGCTTTTCCTGTAGAGTTTCTGGGGGCTCGGAGCCCGGCTCATAAGGTACCAGCGATCTCCTGGGACGGAAGGCCCCCCTCCAGCCAGACGGTGGCGGCTGAGCCGCTGCGCGGGGCCCGCCGGTGGATGCGCCGCAGCCGCAGCAGGTAGAGGAGGATGGCGAGCAGGACCACCAGGAAGCAGCCGGAGAACAGGTGGTGGTTGTACACAAAGGAGAAGCCGCGCCAGTGCGCGTGGCTGGCCCGGAACGTCTCCTGCTGGATGTCTCTGCCCCGGGGAACAAGAACAAACAGCACGGCTAACGAGGCAGGCAGCAGACGCAAGGTGACCGCGCCCAGGGACATGACGGGGCCTGGTTTAGGACTCGGCTCTGCAGACAGAAACCATAACCTCTGTCTCCCAGACCCGGTTCCCTCACCTCTAAAATGCAGGATAACGTGGCCCAGCAGAGGGTGGTTCTGAGTATGAACACGGAAACACATGGAAGTGTATTCATAAGTCTGCAGCTGTAACTAACACTCAGGTTTGGGTAACAAAAATCAGAGAAAGTTAGAACTGTGCTTCACTAATACACAGAAGCCAGTGTGGAATCAAAGCACACGTTTGTGATCACAACACCTAATTCTCAGTTTCTGCTGTTAACCCAGCTAATGTGCTGCTGGGAGAGGCTTGATTAAATGAAGGGAAAAACAAAACCAAAACCAGTGAATCCCTCACTTATTTGTGAACCAGAGTTCTGATGCAGGATCAACTGAGAGCCAGGTCTGAGTGTGACGGGGAAGGAGACACGTCTATATTTATGGCTCTGGCTGCAATGCAGCATTTCCACGGAATGTGAATGTAGATAAAAACCACTACAGTGTCGGCAGGACGTGTGAGTCTGTTCCTAGTGCAACTCACAGATCTTTTACATTACACTGGGGTGCTCTGCAGATGCCTCAGAATACTACCAACAGCTATCACTACACTGAGATTCCAGAAAGTATGAATTCTGCTGCCAGGTCTTGCTATCTAAGGTGCTAATGAGGAAGAACATACACTACAAACCACAAGTTTGTCTTCTGTAATGTTAGGTAAATATATTGCAATATAACAGTTTCCTCTATAAACTTATGCATTTATATTAAGCACTAAAAGCAAGATTTCAGGAAGGGGTCCAAGGCCATAAGGGTTAAGGACCCTGGAATGGACCCCTCTGTGTTGGGGCTAGGGAACAGACAGCTGATGACAATGGGAGGGGAGGATGCACCCGTGCAGAAGACCAAGTCAGATGCCCCCGCTCCCCACTCCCTCAACCCTGTCATGCTCCCAGTCTGCCCACAGCCAGCATTAACAACACCCCAAATACCCACACCCACGGCTACCAGGATTCCTCAGATGCAGAGAAGCACCTTCGGCTGGATTTGTTACCAAATTCTCAGCCCTACCTCAAAGGTAAGAAGCGGGTCCTGTAGAGGATTGCTCCGAGGGTCCACTGCACCTCCTTGTCGTAAACTTGCAAGGCCGTCTTTAAACTTCTATAGTTGACGGGAAACGAGAAGCCCCTGTGGAACACCTCGAACATCCAGGCGGACTTGAAGCACTGATACCTACAAGCGGCACAGATGTGAAGGGGACTGAGTCACTGGCCCAAACGCCCCTGTGCGGTCAGTCTCACCCTCTGTGACCGACGCGGGTGTCGGGGCTGCATGTGGCTGGTGCTCTGAGGGCCGGATCAGCATCTCCAGCTGATTCACTTGGTTTACACCCCTTGTCCCACATCTTTCACCTGTCAAATCGATTTGCCCATGAAACCTGATCTCTACATAATATGTGGTGGCCATGAGAGGTTTTTCCCCTTGGGCTTTCCATCATTTAACTCCTTTCTGAATAAATACTGAACAAGAGTGACCTTCTTTGAACTTCAGTTTCTTTTTTATCCAATGAGAACATGGGAGGGTCCTTTTTGGCTCTGATAGTCTATGATTTTAAATATTTATCAGAGGCTTGCTTTTTGCAAAGTGCTGGGCTAAGCAAGTAATATGGTATCATCATAAATAATAACAGCCAATGTGGTTAAGCAAAGGATTTTAAAAAAGCAACAAATACCTATAAAACAAAACAGAATATAAATGTGCCAGAGACATAATGAGGGCTCTGCAGATTCGGAGAGAGGGATGGAGCCTGGCTGAGTGGACAGATGAAAACACCTCTGACCTCTGACCTTTGGGCAGCGCATCAATGGCAAAAGATGCACAGGAGAATCCCAGGTGGAAGGAAGACCAAAACAGAGCCCAAGACTGCAAGACATGTTTGGGCGAGTCTTTGCCATCCATCTGAAAGGACCCCGGGGCAGATGCGGAAGAGCAGGGACCAATGAGGACGAAAAGGCAGACTGGGGCCAAGACTGGACACAGAGTTTCTTCAACGTACCCTGGGCTCTCTGTCCATGACTTACTTGAGCCTGTGGAGGTCGGCGTGAGAGGCATACAGTCCTCGGTCAAAGCGTTCCCGCAGGATCGACCACTTCGTGGCACAATAATCCTGAAAGAAATGTCACCCCAAGTATATCCCTAGGAAGTATATTAAATTTTTTTCATTTAAAAAAAGTTGACCAAATTCATATTCATAATGAACATATCCTTCCAATTAGGAAACACAAGCTTAATATATGTCTGTATCCCACGAGGACACAACACACACACTCCGTGAATCTTCACTGATGAGAGGGACAATGCTTGTTTTTCATCTTACATTTTGGTCAAGGTCATTGTTAAAGAGTTTCCCTGCCCACAACCAACCTCTTCCAAAGCTGCGGAGTTTCTCCCCCCGTGACTGCACATGACTGGCAAAGATTTCTGGAAAAGTGAAGTTGCACCTCCGCTGGTTCAGACTTAACACCTAGGTCCATGGCTACACGGTACTCTGGGAACTCAAAGCGTGTGTGTTCAGTTGCCCAGTGATGTCCGAGTCCTTGTGACCCCACGGACTACAGGCTCCTCTGTCCATGGATACTCTAGGCAAGAATACTGGAGTGGGTAATCATTTCCTACTCCAGAGGGTCTTCCTGCCCCAGGGGTCAAACCTGGGTCTCCTGAGTCTGCTGTATTGACAGGTGGATTCTTCCCATGCGAGCCACTAGGAAAGCGCCTGCGCACACAGGGGTGATTACAAGAGACGGCAAGAGGCGCCCCCTTTTCCTGACGTCACTGGCACGGAGGTGTGTATCAAGAGCTAAGACTTGCTGAACACTGAGTCAGCACCTTTTCTGAATGCAATGCTTGAAACAGCTCCTTGACATGGCTGCTACTCTAAGCTCTGTTTAAAGGGTGAAGGACCTGAGGCTCAGAGAGGCAGTGACACTCAAGGCAGGGGACACAGAAAATGTGGCGCTCAGCCCGGGTGAGGCGTGAGGAGAGACCACGGCTGAAGACAGGATGGGAGGGAGCGCTGACGGGAGGGAGACAAACACGTCTCTGACATGACCAGAGCATGAAGTGCTGGGGGGAGATGAGGCTATGGGGGGCGGGGGCGGGGGGGCACACACTAAGGTATTTGAAATTCATCCTGGAGGCAAGAGGAAACGCTGAAGACTCTGAAAAGGAGACCAGGGGGCTGCACTTGTGTTTCAGAACACTGGGGAGCGGCGTGGAGAATGACTGATGGGAGGGAGACCAGGGCAGGAGGACCAGAGGGAGGCTCCTGCAACGGGGCAAGTGAGAGTCCAGCACTGGGACAGTGAGCGTGGGACGGAAAGGAGGGGGAGCAGGGGCTGCAAGGTATTTCTGACGTATAATAATATGCTTAATGACTGCGATTGCGGGGTGTACGGGAAGGGATGGATGAGTGACGGGGGAGGGGAGGGGCGCTGGACGGCTTGTGATGCCATGACCGAGACAACACAGCAGAAGAGAATGGGGAGACAGGAGGGGTTGTCTGGAGCTGTGAGAGCTCGCAGGCACGGGGCGGGGTCACATGTGGAGCCTCTTTCTGGGAGGCAGCAGCAAACCATGAATTCAGATGAGACCAGCCAAGAACCTATAGGTCAGAGGATCAAGGGAGGAGACTGCCCAGGCTTGGAGCCTAGGGGGCTGTCAGGAAGGCAGGGAGAACGAGAGAAGGGTGCTGGCAGCAAAGGGCAGGAAGCTGTGAGGAGCTGTCGGACCAGAATCACACTATTACGTGTGGGAGCCATGATGGCGGTGCAGTCCATGCAGTGGGGCAGAAACTGGCCCACGGGGGTGCTGCGGCTTCTGCTGTGACTGTTCCTCTCCCTAACCAAGGCCCAGCCAGGGCTGCTAAGGCGCTGCACATGGCCTTCTGCCATCTCCCGTGTCCTGCTCCTGTCTGGGCCCGGTGCTGCCTACACCAGCTCCCCAGACAGTTACCTTGGCGGCTCTAGTAAATGCTGCGGCGTCGTAGTCCCCGCCCATCCGTAACACATCTTCCGTGCAGTAGTAGAATTCGGAGAAGCCGTAGAACTCACTGTTCTGGAAGTGAATCGGAGGCTGGTAGACCCCGTTGAGGGAGGTTTGCGTCTCGTTTGTTTTGTTCATGAAAGGCTGGATGGTCTCCCGGCATAGGTCAAAGTCCCCTGTCCCCCGCAGGTACAGCGTCTGTCCGTTTTGCTGGATTTCGTCTTTGATGTCCAGGGGTAGGCAGGGGTCCAGGTATGGAGTGTCAGGAGTCAGGCCAGTCTGTTTCCCCAGGAGTCTACAGGATCAAGAGAAACTTCATCACAAGACAGAAGACTGTGTGAAGAAGAAAGTGGCTGCAAGTCAGTGTCTCCCAAACTCTGTCCCGCGGAACACAAAAGGGTTTCAGGAAAAATCAAGTTAGAAAAACACAGACTTGAGCCCCTCCTGGAGGTTCATAACACACACCTGAGTACAGCGGACACCTAAACAGGGGCCAGTGACAGTACGACCTGGTCAGATCACGGATGCTTTCTGTGCCCTGTGCCAGGCTGATGTTCTTGGCCGTTGAGGGCACACAGTTAGTAAGCTCTTCCGTGTCTCCTGTTCACTGCAGTCCAACGCCCACTCACTGTGTTATTCCCAGCCCCATTTTGGCCACAAATGCCTGTCATTTTAATTATATATAGATGAAATGTGACTGTAAAAAGAAGGCGCTGGTCCTGTGAAAGCTGGATCAGATGCTTTAGAAAAATGATAAAGGCAAACTGCTAGAAAACTGGTGTCAAATTAGGTATTAGCAAGATTATTTTAAAAAGTTTGGAAAAATCAGTAAAAATCTAGACAGAAAATAGTATTAAACTGCTTCACAGATGTCTTTAAGGCCTTGGTATTCTTGAAAGATAGCCAAAACGGTATCAAGAGTGGGTGCTGTGCCTGCCAGAGAGATGACAGATGCAGCCTAAGAAAAGCTTTTAGTCCAGAGCGAAAGACTGGCAACTGAATACACAAGTTAGAACAAAATGCTTCAGGTTGATTCTATTTTTATGATTCTCTGCTCTAACTGAATTTTTTAAGTTAACCGACTACTGACCCCAACTGCAGCAGATAACAATTTTACTGTACTAGGGCTCTGAGAAGTCCTGTAGAAATCTTACCATCGTTTACTGAAGTGCTCTACACTTACTGCCTCCCAATGAAATGTCCAGATCTGTCATCCTACCGTGCGTCTTCACCGCTAAAGAAAAGCTCAAGTTATGTCACTGTTTGACACCAGGAAATCCCATGGGCCTAAAAGGTGTTTAAGTACTAGGAGGGCACCTGAATTTGACATTCAGTCACTGAAATTAAATCAAGTTTTTACCTGACACTCAACTGACCTAAGATCAGGGCAACTCAAAATGGACGTGCATGTAATAAATTAAGGTCTTTGCCATTAATTTAAAATATTTGAGTAATTTAAAAAATCAATCATCATTACTAATGGCAGAGATAAATATGCACTTGAAGGCTCAATTCATGACATATGTAGTAAGTGACGACTAATATTTATAATGATTATATAAATCTAGGATGAGCTAAATGTGTATTTCATGCTACAGGTTTTACTCGCTCTATGTCTAAATTAAGAAGTACCACTCCACGGCCCACTATACAACCTTCTTGACATTAAAACCAATTAGTAAAAATTAGGGATGCAGAAGAAGGTATTTCTCCAAAGTTCTAAATTAAATGTCACTTATAAGATATTTCTATTTTAAGACTATTATTAAAAATAATTTTACCAAAGTATGCTATGACATTTTTAAAAAGAAACTGGGACTACTTACTATCTCTTACCTAACACTATTCAACTAACACCTAGAACAGACAAAGAACAAGTTTTTACTGCTTTTCCTATTCACACATGTGAGTTTCTGGAAAATGAGGAGCTAAATGGCTATGATTTGGACTTTCTTAAAGTTTAGGCCTCCACAGGATTAAGATTAAATTGTAGTCAATATTTTATAATAACTATAAATGGAGTATAAACTTTAAAAACTGTGAATCACTATGTTGTACATTTGAAACATATAATATTGTTCATCAACTACACCTCAACAACAACAAAAAGGTCAAATTGATCAAAGAAATACCCTATCATTTAGCTCTATAAATCAGGATTTTTCCCCTCAAAATTGTTACATCAAAACAAACAAAACCAAGCATAGTAATTAATAACTCTTTACATAAGCCCAGATTTCAGAGTTTTTTTAATTCACACAAATGGCTTTTCTGTTCTAATGAACTAATTTTAAATAAATATTTGGTATATACTTAAACTTATAAAATAAATTTAAATTGATAAGGTATTTTTGATATTTTCTATACTAGAAATCTTCATAAACTCATTTTTAAAAGTTTTACTGCTAAAGATGCTTAAAATGACAAACTTTGACTTCTGGATCATTTCTTTCTCATGAATAACTTCCTTCCTACGGTCGTATTTACCACATAACCGCCCAAGCTGCTTCCCACGACATTAGGCCATCTCATAACTCAACGCCACCACTGCATCCTGTGGGCCGCCAGGAAATCCGAGTGGCCCCGGTGCTGAGGTTCCCTAGGACTTGGCAATCTGGAATAGCACCACCCAGGGCTTAGAAGTATTTAATGTCCTGAGAGTGAGACCTCTGACCCAGCAGTGAAGCCCTGGGTCTGACAGCGGAGCCCCCTTCGGAGCCTAGCAGGCTGGGGCTGGAGGCAGGACCCTGCCGCCCTTGCATTTCTTCCCCAGCTCAGCAGGCTGGGCGGCAAGCAGCTAACAGCACTGACATTCTTCTGCTGACTGAGGGCTCCCTGCTTCGCCTGGGTATGTCTTCTATGAAGACAGACCTAGATTTCAAAGTCATGGCTGAGCAGTGGAAGGTGCTTTACCTGTTCTTCTGAACTGTGCTGGCAAATATTCTGTCTTCATACCTCTGCCGAGCGGCATTGCCACCAAACCCAAGAAACGTGGCCACGTAGACACGGTACACATGCTCCGTTTGGTGAATGTCACACCCCAAGTTAAACTCAGCCAGCAGGTTCTTAGCTACTTCTTCCTGCAGACGTAAGGGCCACAAGCTTAAGTATTTTAAGCAAAAAAAGTTACTTCCTTCTAAAAACAGGGATCCTAAAAGAGTCTCATCTAAAACGGGCAAACATTTTGCTCCTGCATTTCCCAAGGATCCTTCCAAGCATCTTTCCTACTTCAACATGACAACCCTGACTTAAAAAATTTCAGGTGGGCTGCACATCTGTGATACTGAAATGACTTTGTAAAAAGGACGTTAACAATGTGATCTAGTAAATCTACTTAAGAAATCCTACACTGTGAAAATAATCTTCAACATTGAAAAGTCTCTATACACAACCATGTCCTCTGCAATTCTGTGACAGAAAATACTGGATGCCACTGAAATACACAATTCCAGGGAGGGGTGAGTTGTTATGGCAGCAGTTTATGGAGGAACATGCTTATGCACTGTTCAATAAAGGACAAAACCCTGGACAAACAGTATGATTATAACACCCATATTTTTAAAAACTACAAAGAAGTAGAAAAAGAATGAAAATAAATACACCAAAACACTATCTTTTTTTTTTTGGATGATGTATCCATGGGAAATTTTTATTCCTGATTTTTCAGTATTTTTTTCCAATCTTGCTTTTCTGAGTTTCTTGCTTTGAGGGGAAAACGTGACTTTCTACCAAGAGTATAATAGTTCCTAGAGGCATGCCTGGGTGGGAAGTAGGAAACACAAATTGTAATAGTTGAATTTACAGAGCATCTTTCTAAGGTGCTTAATAAACACGTCAGTAATGTTTGCTGAGCTGACACAAGGTGTCTGGGAGGGTGCTGAATATACTGTATGCGCCACCTCAGTCAGTTTTGCAACAACCCTCCGTCAGAGACACGTGCGTCACATTTAGACAAGGGACTCGCACGAGGCCCCACAATCAGAGGCCAGGGTGACAACGCGGCCCAAGCCCGTCCGGCTCCACTCGTGTCCAACACTCACTCTGCCCGTCCTAATCCCAGCTGCACGGAGCAGGGGAAGACACAGAGCGGCTCAGGGACTCAGCCGGGCCCCTCCGCTCTACACGAGGCTGCCCAGCCTGCTGGGGAGCTGGAGGCAGAGGCAGGGTGCAGATAAACGACAGAGTGAGCCACAAGCTGAGAAACCCAGAGCAGTGGATCCAAACCTCAGTCTCTACCAGAAAAGTGGGAAGCTGCCTGACCACACATCCTTGCCCCCCCACATAAAAGTAATTTTTCCCAATTACAACTTAAGAAATCTGATGCTATCATATTAAGTTTTAGGATACCTGCTGGGAAAAAAAGTGACTGGAAACAGAAATAAAAACTCAAGTGTGTGGCTGACATATACACCAAAGGAAAATTCTATGTAAGTTCAGAAAACAAACCAGCTGACTTCAATGAACAAACACAAACGGCTTAGTGGAGGTTTGCCTTGGCTTCCTCCCGTCTCCTGTCGCCTGGGTTGAGAAGGCAGGACCCTCGGCAAGCACAGTAAAGATGTGTTCAGACTCAGAAAACAAAACAAAAATGGATGGAGACATGTTAAATGAAAACCAAACCAAAAGGAAGGAAATTTGTACAGATAATAACCTGCTGTGAGGAGGCAAAGCTTACAGTTTTGGGTACTTCGTATGCTATCTGGGTTGACACGCCTCCCATGTCTAGAATACCAGCTGTTCTTTTACGAAGAATGGCTTCGCTGCTTTCGCTACCAGGGATGTTAACTTCTACTACCGCCTCGTCATCTGGAAAGAACAAGAAACATCCATTGGAACAGAACAAGTGCAGGGAGGCACGGTCTTGCAAACAGTCATCCTGCTTTCATGGTGGGACACAGGGTATCTAGGAGCCCCAACCCGTTCCTCCCCACTAAGACCAAGCTCCCTCAGCGCCAGCACTGCCTCCCACGCTGTTCCTCCTCACCAGCTGTGTCACAAGACTCAGCTCCTTTTCTACGCTTTGCACGAAACAGAAGACGACAGAAGGTTCAGTCAGACACACTCACCGCAAACACAACACTTACCGTCTTCAATATGCTCAAAGCGTCCGAGGACAAAGTTAATGCCAATCCAAGCATAGACACCTAAAGACAGTGTAAGAAGAGTGAAGTCTAAAAACAGTTTATGTAATTCTGACCACAGCAATCTGTGCAGACATTTATTTTACCCCGACAAGCTGTGAAAACATTATCTGAAGAAATACACTTTTACCGGTGTATTTTATCTTTTCCCAGTGGTTTTCCAAGAACTCTCAACTTTTAATTTTGTAGTTTCATACCATTTGCATGTGTTGAAAATACAATTCCCTAGGCCCTAGTGTTCCTTTGAAATTTGAAGATTGTTTTGAAATACCAGAGTTTTCACTTTGAGGCTAAATCTATCAAGTGCAAGGTTTTAAAAACCAGTGAACTCTGATTCTTCCACTCCTTTCTCCCACGCTCTCACTCAGCTCCCAGGTCTGACTCTCTTTTTATAACATTTTCTATATCTGATCCTCACCTGTTTTCATTACTGCCTTTATTTAATCTTTGTTCCTACTCTCCCATTCCAACTCACGCTATTATCTACTGGACTGACCTATAGAACAAAGTCCAAACTCCAGAGTCCACCAATTCAAGACCTGTCCAACTTTTCAAAACTGAATAAATTTGACATGTAACACTGTGTAAATTTAAGTGATACAGTGTGTTACTTTGATACATTTATATATGATTGCCTGTGTAGCAATATTATCATCACATCATTATAGTATTACTGTCTCTATTCACTATACCATGCACTAACCCTCTAAGGCTTATTTATCCAGTGTTACAAGTTTCTACCCTTAAACATCACTAATCTTATCTCCTACCCCCATCCCCTGGTAACCAACATTTTACTCTGGTTTCTGACTTTTTCAGATTCTACAAGTGGTATCACACACCATTTGTCTTTCTCTGACTTCCCTCGCTTGGTATAATGTGCCCAATCCAACCGTGTCAAAAATAACAGGCTACCCTTCCTCCTCATGGTCACATAAGATCTCACTGTGTCTATGCGCCACATCTTTAATGTGTCTGCTGATGAACACCTGAGTTGTTGCTGTATCTTGGCTATTGTGAATAACACTTCAATAAACATGGGAGTACATGTATCTTGTCAGAATTCTATTTTCATTTCCTTTGGGCATATACCCAGAAATACAAATGCTGTGTCGCATGGTACCCCTAATTTCATTGAAAGTGAAGTGAAAGTGAAGAGTCAGTCGTGTCCGACTCTTTGTGACCCCATGGACTGTAGCCCACCAGGCTCCTCCATCCATGGAGTCTTCTAGGCAAGAGTACTGGAGTGGGCTGCCATTTCCTTCTCCAGGGGATCTACCTGACTCAGACGGTAAAGCGTCTGCCTGCAATGCGGGAGACCCGGGTTCGATACCCAAGTCAGAAAGATTTTGCCTTAACTAATTGCTCTAGCTGGGACTTTCAATATTATATTGAACAGGAGTAAGAAGAGTAGGCATCCTTGTCTTATTCTTGATCTTTGAGGAAATGCTTTCAGTTTTTCTCCATTGAGTATGTTAGCTCTGAGTCTGTCATATATGGCCTTTATTATGCTGAGGTCTGTTCCTTCTATACCCAATTTATTAAGGGTCTTTTTTTTTTTTAAATCATGAAAGGATATACTTTGTCAAATGCTTTTTCTGCATCTATTGAGATGAAGTGATTTTCATCTTTCACTTTACTGATGTACTACATTTATCGATCTGTATATTTTCCATCATACTTGTATCCCAGGGATAAATCCTACTTGGTCATACCGTGTAATCCTTCTAAGGGGTTCCTTTTTAAAAACATAATTTTATTCATGTATTTATTTAGGCTGTGCTGGACCCTCACTGCTGCACAGGCTTCTCTCCAGCTGCAGTGGGCCGGGACTGCCCTCCAGCTGACAGGCTTCTCTCCAGCTGCAGTGGGCCGGGACTGCCCTCCAGCTGAGGTTCATGGGCTTCTCACTGCGGTGGCCTCTCCTGCACAAGAGCACAGGCTCCAGGGCGTGCGGGCTTTGGTAGTTGCGGCTTCCAGGCTCAGCAGTTGTGGTTCACAGATGTGTGGGGTCTGACGACATGTGGGATCTTCCTGGACAAGGGATGGAACCCGTGTCTCCTGCACTGGCAGGCTGATTCTTTACCACTGAGCCACCAGAGAAGCCGAGGTGCTCCTGAATGTATCTGGAAAAGCCTTTCCTTCTCCTTCGTATCTGAAGGATAATTTTACTGGATAGAGTATTTTTGTCTGGCAGGCTTATCTTTCAATACTTTGAGTATGTCATTCCATTCCTTGGCCTCTGTAGAGTTTTCCCAGAAAAATCTAGTGATAGTCTAAAGTAGGTTTCTTTGTAGATTACTGTCTTTTTTCCCTGGCTGCCTTTAAAACTTTTTTCATCACACTTTTGACAGTTTTAATATGTCTTGAAGGTCTTTTGTGTTGAAGTAAGTGTTTCCATTAGCTCTGTGGACTGTATATCCAGCTTCTTCCTCGAGGTTTCGGAAATTCTCAGCTCTTATTTCTTTGAATGCTCTCTGCTCCCTTCTCTCTCTCATCTCCTTCTAGGATATCCATGAGTCTTATGGTGGCTTTCCTAATGAAGGCTGATAGTTAAGGGGTTCTTCACTTTAAAAAAAATCTTAGTTCTCTCCTCTTCCACCTAGAACATTTCTATATTCTTACCCATGAGTTCATTTACTCTCTGTTCCATCTGATGTGCCTGACTTCCAATGCTTTCTAATGCATTCATCTCACTGACTGAGTGCTTCAGCTCCAGAATTTGTTTGGTTCTTTCTCAGAATTTTAACCTCTTTGGTAAATTATTTTGTTAATTTTATTCCTGAGATCATTGTACTGTCTTTCTGAATTTTCTTGTAGCTCGCTGAATTTCTTCCTAGCAGCTATTTTGAATTCTTTATCAGTCAGATTGCAATAGTCCATGTCTCTAAATTTAGTTGCTCGGAAACTGTTTTTCTTCTTGTGACATCACATTACTTGATTTTCACAGTGTTTGATGCAAAGTATCTCCGTCACAGCATTTGAAGTAGTGAGTGACTTAAAGCTTTGTTTACGTTCATTCTAACAACTCAACACATTGGTAGTCTGAAGCCTTTATTTTCTACAAGGTGGCGCTACAGCACAGCTTTTGGCTTCTCTTGCCTTAGTTGCCTCATCGCTAAGGCTGGGAGCATGAACATAAAAACAGCCAGTGGAGAGGAAAAAATGGATGGTGACAGAGCTGGGGAGACGTATGCTTCATACTTGGGGCTTTGGCTTTATTAAAGAGAACAGGATTCTTGAGTGGGGGAGGACATCCCCAGAGGTCCGTGGGCTGTCTTCTTGCAAGAATCCCACAGCAGACAGCAAGAAACTGGTCCCTTCAGTTCTTTCTGCCTTCTTCTCCTTTCTTTCTCTGCTCACAGTAGCTGTGGTCTCTCCAGCTATACTACTCTCGGGCAGGTTAATTCACCACATCCCAACTCATCACCTTCACCCTCTACCACCTCTGCCAGAGAGGTCGTGCTGGCCCAGGGCCACTCCTGCAGCTGCTGCCTCTGCAGACTCCTCTGGGGTCCAATCCACCCACTTTCTTGGGCACAGATGAACTGATCTCTTGGGTGTCCTGGTGTGCTATGCATAGGCACATTTTCCCGGTTATGGGTCTCTGATTAGTTGCAAATCAAAGAGGGGAGAGAAAAGGAACCACGTATGCCACCATGATGCTGATATCACCAAGACCTGTCTAACCTGTAACATTACCATGACCTTTCAAAAGGGCCACCATCCCATCAGATTAAAGTATTTTTATTCCTCTGTCCAGGGTGCAGCTTTTCTGACCTGCATTGACTTAAATCATTTTTTCTGCCTAGAATGAGCTTCCTATCTCTCTCTTCAGAGCCCTAGCCTTACCAGGCTTTGGCATGCTATGTTTATAATTATCCCTTGATGCTCAGTTCAAATGTCACTTTCTCCATGATGCTTCTAGCTAGGAAAAAAAAAGTCTCTTTCCTTTCAATTCCCATGGTAGTATTTCCTTACTTATGTATGGCGTATAAAACTGCCTTACATAAGTTAGCTGTTTACCTCACTTGTCTATAAACAGTTCAATGGCAGTATGTGAATTTCACCTAATTTTTGGCAAAACGATAGATGATTTTGAAATAAATGCTTTTTAGTCTCCATCTCTAACAAGCTATTCCCCCAAATAATTACACTGACTTGCCATTTCATTCTCAAGTACAATTATTTCTTTGAAAACAGATTTTCTCAGTGTATCAAAGTGAAGAATAATTTCCCTTTTCTAGCAAGTAAATCAGTAGAAGGTTCCAACAGCTCGATAATTATCATAATTTCAGAAAGCTGTATAACTTAGGCAAGGAACACAAACCTTTTCTAGCAAAATGAATCCAAAATATGTTTCCTAAATGTGAAGAAAAACTTGTTATTTTTTAATGGCTTAACGTTTGGATTATAAAGACTAGTCATGTAAAAAACTAATATTACCATTTAAAAATTATATTTGAAGGCTATAGTTACCCAAATTTTAAGATGTTAAGAATAATTTGATAAAGTGTACAAAGTGGAAGACTGGGAGGACTTACAGGAATAGCTTCCCAAATTTCAAGTTGAAGACTAATATACTAACCTTCTTGTTTCCCTGAAATTACTTCTGCATGAGAGTCAGAAAACAGGAAGTCAAAGTGCACAGGGATGTCAGTCAGAAGGTCTTCCAGAATGGCTTTCTGCTGACTGTAACACAATCCAAAAATTTACATTCGATATATTAAATCCTAAATTTTTCTGTTTTAAAAAGAAAAAACAAAACCCCAAACCCTATGGCTCTGGTATATCCTGTGTGAAAAAAGTAACATTTAAAACCAAAACAATTGGACTGAAAAGACTGTTTAAGAAGCATTTTCAGAAGTTGTGTAAATTATGTGATTCCTAGATGTAGAATTACAACTGCAAACAATCCTTCAACTAAGAAAATAAAAAATCAGGTTTTTTTAAATGACAACCTTACAGTTTACTCTTCACAGTCATATATAAATACATTCAAAGGTGTTTTGTGAGTTCTGACTATAGGTCTGGCACTGTTCCTAATTTGAACAGAGAATTTTTAACGTCTTCCGTTTGATGACGATGATGATGGAAAAGGAAGACAAGGAGGCGGGAGAGGAGGGGTGAGAAGGGAGAAAACCCACCACAGGCAACACCACCACTGGCCTGGCAGGCCCCACCCTCGTGGGAGGATCACCTTTCGGGGAGGATTCTCATTCCAGCCGTGCAGAGAATGTAGAGAGGGGTCTCTTTGTGTTTTGCCCGTGGAACATGCTCTGCAGCAAAGTTCAAGAGTGGAGAAATGTAATCACTGACTTTCTCTGGAGAAGTCGCAAACTCTGAAATGCCTACAGAAAAAAGAGAAGTCCTTTAAATTAATATCCAACATATATTGGGTTGGCTGTAAATGACAGGGACACTACAAGCTCAGTCCCATGCTCTCTTCTCAGTCATCAAATACAGACGCAACTGAGCAACTGCTTCGTGTCTGATACTTGGGATCAACTGCATGTGAGCTCGTTTCTGCCCCTAAGAAACATACCCACACTGGCCTCAGGCAAGTTCACCCTCTCTCACAGCTGACATCACCATCTCTGTCTCAGATCTCTGAATCTTTTTTTTTTAATTGTTCATACCATTCCTTTATTATGCTTTTAATGTTCATGAAAACAACGGTGATGACCACTTTCATTTCTAACAGATCTCCAAATCTTAATCGCGGCCATCCAGATCTCTTCCCTGACCTCTGATCATACTGACTTTATACTGATCATACTGAAAGTTACTGATCATACCCATAACTTTCCATGGGACACAGCCATGTCCTTGACCTCACAGCAACATATGCAAATCCAAACTCAACTTCCACTGCAATCCTGCTCTTGCTGCCTGCTACTCACCTTAGCAGCCCCAGCTGAGGGCCCTCATCCCCAACAGATGTTCTGGGTCTCATTGATCACCTATCCTTGGTTCTGCTCACATTATTTCACTTCTCACCATCTCTTCTGGATAGCACGAGCCTTAGCCAGCCTGCTGCAGCACAGCCTAATTTCCAGTCCTGGCCATCCCCAACCACTCTCTATGCAGAAGGTGTCTCCTGCTTTGAGATCCTCCGGTGGCTCAATGCCCTGTGAATAAAGCTCAGCTCTAGAACAGCATAATACTCCCTGTGCACTCACCCATGTCATCTCCTGCCACATTCCTTCCATTTGGCTCCAACTACACTGCATGACATTTCTGTAATGCTTCGTATTCCAGTCTGAGGGCCCCTGCATCTCCCCCAGGAAGAACCTGCTCTTTGACTACCCCTCCTTTCTCCCTCCTCACTGGCGGACTCCAGCTCACCCACTGAGCTACATCCTCCCTGGAAGTCCTCCCTAACAGAACCTTCCCTGATGTGAGCTCTCCTCTCATTATATTCCATGCTCACCCTCCCCTCTCAGTGTATACTCATTCCACCTCACTGAAACTCCCTATTTACTTGTCTGTCACATTTCAACTGGAAGTATCTCGAGGGCAGAAACTGTGTTTTGTTCAAAGTTAGTCTCAGCATGTGACACATTCCCTGGTAAATAGGAGGGGCTCAGCAAATATTTGCTGAATGAGTACCTAAGTGTTCCAGCTGTCATTTAGCCTATAATATTAAAGCTGAGGGGGATTTTAGAAATTCAAAATTTATTTCACAAATTAGGAAACTGTGGACTCAAATTAAGTGATCTGTCAAAGCAATGAGCAGCAAGCAAACTGAAAGCCAGATTTTTTTGGACTCCACATACAAGATCATTTCAATGGACACCAAGCCCAAAACTATCCAGAAGCTGTTCAGTACAGTCGCTCAGTTGCGTCTGACTTTTTGCGACCTCATGAACTGTAGCACACCAGGCTTCCATGTCCATCACCAACTCCTGGAGCTTGCTCAAACTCATGTCCATCAAGTCAGCAATACCATCCAACCATCTCATCCTCTGTCATCCCCTTCTCCTGCCTTCAATCTTTCCCAGCATCAGGGTCTTTTCCAATGAGTTAGTTCTTCCCATCAGGTGTCCAAAGTATTGGAGTTTCATCTTCAGTATCAGTCCTTCCAATGAATATTCAGGACTGATATCCTTTAAGATTGACTGGCTTGATCTCCTTGCAGTCCAAGGGACTCTCAAGAGTCTTCTTCTCCAACACCACAGTTCAAAAGCATCAATTCTTTGGCGCTCAGCTTTCTTTATGGTCTAATTCTCACATCCATACATGACTACTGGAAAAAACCACAGCTTTGATTAAACAGACTTTTGTTGGCAAAGTAATATCTCTGCTTTTTAATATCGTGTTTAGGTTGGTCATAGCTTTTCTTCCAAGGAGCAAGCGTCTTTTAATTTCATGACTGCAGTCAACATCTGCAGTGATTTTGGAGCCCCCCAAAATAAAGCCTGTTACTGTTTCCATTGTTTCCCCATCTATTTACCATGAAGTGATGGGACCAGAGGTGATGATGTTAATTTTCTGAATGTTGAATTTTAAGCTAACTTTTTCACTCTCCTCTTTCACTTTCATCAAGAGGATTTTTAGTTCTTCTTCGCTTTCTGCCATAAGGGTGGTGTCATCTGCATATCTGAGGTTATTGATATTTCTCCCAGCAATCTTCATTCCAGCTTGTGCTTCATCCAGCCCAACATTTCTCATGATGTACTCTGCATATAAGTTAAATAAGCAGGGTGACAATATACAGTCTTGACAGACTCCTTTCACAATATAAAACCAGTCTATTGTTCCATGTCCAGTTCTAACTGTTGTTTCTTGACCTGCATACAGATTTCTCAGGAGGCAGGTCAGGTGGTCTGGTATTCCCATCTCTTTCAGAATTTTCCACAGTTTCTTGTGATCCACACAGTCAAAGGCTTTGGCATAGTCAATAAAGCAAATGTAGATGTTTTTCTGGAACACTCTTGCTTTTTCGATGATCCAGCAGATGTTGGCAATTTGATCTCTGGTTCCTCTGCCTTTTCTAAATCCACCTTGAACATGTGGAAGTTCACAGTTCACGTACTGTTGAAGGCTGACTTGGAGAATTTTGAGCATTACTTTGCTGGCGTGTAAGATGAGTGCAATTGTGCGGTAGTTTGAGCATTGTTTGGGATTGCCTTTCTTTGGGATTGGAATGAAAACTGACCTTTTCTAGTCCTGTGGCCACTGCTGAGTCTTCCAAATTTGCTGGCATATTGAGTGCAGCACTTTCACAGCACTGTCTTTTAGGATTTGAAATAGCTCAATTGGAATTCCATCACCTCCACTAGCTTTGTTCGTAGTGATACTTCCTAAGGCCCACTTGACTTTACATTCCAGGATGTCTGGCTCTAGGTGAGTGATCACACAATCGTAGTTATCTGGGTCATGAAGATCTTTTTTGTATAGTTCTTCTGTGTATTCTAGCCACCTCTTCTTAATATCTTCTGCTTCTGTTAGGTCCATACCATTTCTGTCCTTTATTGTGCTCATCTTTGCATGAAATGTTCCCTTGGTATCTCTGATTTTCTTGAAGAGATCTCTAGTCTTTCCCATTCTGTTTTTTCCTCTATTTCTTTACATTGATCTCTGAGGAAGGCTTTTTTATCTCTCCTTGCTGTTCTTTGGAACTCTGCATTCAAATGGATGTATCTTTTCTCCTCCATCTTTAGCTTCTCTTCTTTTCTCAGCTTTTTGTAAGGCAGAGGAATAGGACGGGGAGACCACTTTCCCCCCACAAATTTATCAAAAGATTATTTGAATGCTGAGCAACTTCCACAAAACAACTTCTGAACACTGTCAGAGGACACCAGGCACCCAGAAATGCAGCCCATTCTCTTTGAAAGAAGGTAGAACAAAATATAAAAAAGAAAAAGAGAAACAAAAGAGTTAGGGATGGAGACCTGTCCTGGGGAGGGCATCATGAAGAAGGAGAAGTTTCCACACAGTAGGAAACTCTCTCACAGGTGGGTCTGCGGTGAGTTCTGGAATCTCAGAAAGCAACATAACGGGGAGGAATAAAACCCCACAGAATACACGCCTAACCGCAACTGCAGAAAGGAGAACTTTCCTGCAAAAGGCTCTAACATAACAACCTAATAGGCACCTGGCCTGCTCACAGAACAAAAGAGAGGGAATACCAAAGGAGAGCTAGCAGGCTGCCTATCAGCCCCTCCCAGGCCAGAGGCAGAGAGGCAGGCTTGTAACAGCCAGAGCTGGAAGGCAAGGGGCTGCGACAATCTCAGCCCCAGGGATGGCATCTTCCACCAAACTGTGAGCAGGCTCCTAGCTGCTAACCAGGTCTTCCTGAGATCTCGGATGGTTGACATTTGCCAGGAGGGTCGTAGCCTGAGATCAGCTGTCCAGATGAGACATGCGGCACACTCAGGGAAGCCGAGCGGCCAGGACTGGGGAGGTGATGAAGACGCACGGCCCTCCTGGGACCATGCTCGCCAAGCACCTGTCGCCTGAGCTGCTCAGACCTGGCAAGGGCACAAAACGCACACCCAGCCCACAGAGGCCGAGCCAGAACTGTGTCTGAGTGTCTCCTGTGGAGGGACGGGTCAGCAGTGACCGGCTGCAGGTGCGATGGGTATGGCAGACTTGGTATGGCATAAGCCCTCTCGGAAGAGGTCACCATTAACCCCACCAGAGAGCCGCCAGAACACACAGGACTGGGGAAACAGACTCTTGGAAGGCACGAATAAAACCTTGCACAAGGACCCAGGAGAAAGGAGCAATGACCCCACAAAAAACTGACCCCGACATGCCCATGAGTACCCAGGAGTCTCTGGTGGAGGTGTGGGTCGGCAGTGGCCTGCTTCAGGGTCGAGGCACTGAATGCAGCAGAGAGTGCACGGAACCTTCGGAAGGAGGTCGCCATTATCTTCATCACCTCCACCATAGTTTGGCCTCAGGTCAAGCAACAGGGAGGGAACACAGTCCTTCCCATCAACAGAAAATTGGATTAAAGATTTACTGAACACAGCCCCACCCACCAGAACAAGATCCAGTTTCCCCCTCAGTCAGTCTCTCCCATCAGGAAGCTTCCATAAGCCTCTTCTCCATCAGAGGGCAGACAGAATGAAAATCACAATCACAGAAAACTAACCAATCTGATCACATGGACCACAGCCTTGTCTAACTCAATGAAACTGTGAGCCATGCCATGTAGGGCCACCCAAGACAGGTCATGGCGGAGATTTCTGACAAAACATGGTCCACTGGAGAAGGAAATGGCAAACCACTTCAGCATTCTTGCCTTGAGAACACCATGAACAGTGAAAAGGCAAAAGGGTGTGATACTTAAAGATGAACCAAACTCCCCAGGTTGGTAGATGCCCAATATGCTACTGGAGAAGAGTGGAGAAATAACTCCAGAAAGAATGAAGAGACGGGGCCAAAGCAAAAACAACACCCAGTTGTGGATGTTACTGGTAATGGAAGTAAAGTCCAATGCTGTACAGAGCAATATTGCATAGGAACCTTCAATGTTAGGTCCATGAATCAAGGCAAATTGGAAGTGGTCAAACAGGAGAAGGCAAGAGTGAACATTGACATTTTAGGCATCAGTGAACTGAAATGGACTGAAATGGGTGAATTTAACTCAGATGACCATTATATCTACTACTGTGGGCAGGAATCCCTTAGAAGAAATGGAGTAGCCATCATGGTCAACAAAAGAGTCCAAAATGCAGTACTTGGATGCAATCTCAAAAACAACAGAATGATCTCTGTTCATTTCCAAGGTAAACTATTCAATATCATGGTAATCCAAGTCTATGCCCTGACCAGTAATGCTTAATAAGCTGAAGTTGAACAGTTCTTTGAAGACCTCCAAGACCTTCTAAAACTAACACCCAAAAAAAGATGTCCTCTTCATTATAGGGGACTGGAATGAGAAAGTAGGAAGTCAAGAGCTACCTGGCTGCTACCGCTAAGTCACTTCAGTCGTGTCCGACTCTGTGAGACTCCATGGACTGCAGCCTACCAGGCTCCCCCATCCCTGGGATTCTCCAGGCAAGAACACTGGAGTGGGCTGCCATTTCCTTCTCCAATGCATGAGAGTGAAAAGTGAAAGTGAAGTCGCTCAGTCGTGTCCGACTCTTAGCGACCCCATGGACTGCACCTACCAGGCTCCTCCGTCCATGGGATTTTCCAGGCAAGAGTACTGGAGTGGGGTGCCACTGCCTTCTCCAAGAGCTACCTGGAGTAACAGGCAAATTTGGCCTTGGAGTACAAAATGAAGCAGGGCAAAGGCTAATAGAGTTTTGCCAAGAGAACACACTGGTCGTAGGAAACACCCTCTTTCAACGACATAAGAGAAGACTCTACACATGGACATTACCAGATGGTCAATAGCAAAATCAGATTGATTATATTCTTTGCAGCCAAAGATGGAGAAGCTCTGTACAGTCAGCAAAAACAAGACGGGGAGCTGACTGTGGCTCAAATCATGAACTCCTTATTGCTAAATTCAGACTTAAGAAAGTAGGGAAAACCACTAGACTATTCAGGTATGACCTAAATCAAATCCCTTATGATTATACAGTGGAAGTGACAAACAGATTCAAGGGATTAAATCTGATAGACAAACTGCCTGAAGAACTATGGATGGAGGTTTATGACATTGTACAGGAGGCAGTGATCAAGACCATCCCCAAGAAAAAGAACCTGGTTACCAAGCAGATATTTATTGTTTACATACCGGGTTTTATTTTCATGACCACAGGCTTTCGGTTTTTATCCCTCATTTGCCTGATATCCAACAGATCGTGAGGATTGCCATTGTGCCGTGGCCAGCAATAGACAAATATCCGAGACCCGCTGCTCCCACAGTCCACCACGATGCCATAGTTCACGTTGGGGTTATTGGTGTCTGTAGCTTCAACGTCAGTAACTCGTGCCAAGTACCTTGTTTAGAGAAACAAACATACTCTTACTGAGACAGAGACTATCCATAATGCGATACACAAATACCAAGTCAGTGATTTCTAAGCTATGTGGTCCTGCCACCAGAACATTTTTACAACTGTCAAATGATCAAAAAAATCAAAAGAAAACAAAAAGGGAACATGGTAAAAGTAACCTAAACCAGATACACACTCATTATTGTTTTAAATAAGTTCAAACGAGCTCTGAAAAGCAAAACTCTGTTTTCTAACTATCAACAGTAACTGAAAAATCAGCTTTAAATGATATCACAGGAGAAGCTTATGCTCAAATCCTCTTATGATGTGGATTTGGTGGTTAATAATTAAACAGTTTCAAACAGTTTAGTTTTTCATGCCATGCGGTATTGGGTACAAAATCCGTTTCCTCCAGCCACATGCTCCTTAAATTCCAACCTAATCCCCAAAGTCTTGAAGTCACAGGATGAAGGTACGGCATACCATCTAGAAAACACATTTTTTTCCCCCTACCTTTGAAACTTCTTGTCTTTGGAGAGCCGTCCATACTTATTTCGGATTATGACAACAGAAAAGTATAAAAGTGAGACAGCAGCAGCCAGAAGGCTGATGACGATAATTTGGCGTAAGTTGGTGTTCAGAATTCGGGGACACCCCACTGGAGAGATGCTGAAATGCCAGGAAGCAGGAAGAAGACAGGAGAGGCCAATCCTGAAATGCCGAAAGACAGGTTTAGCTAAAGCAGTTTGCTCCACAGAGGCCTCCCCTCACCTCCACTGATCCAAATACAAGACCTTCAGCAGGAGCTGCCCCTGGTTCCCGGAAGGCGTTCTGTAGACCAGCCTCTTGCACATTGCTATTGTGCTATGTAAAATAGCAAAAATTATAAAATCAGATGGATGAGAATTAAGCCCTGATGATTATGACTTTTCTGTGTTCCCTCCCTTTCTGGGGAATATTAGGCAGCTTTTATTTTTACCCTGCCTCATTCCAAAAATAGAATTAGAGAGAGTTTATAAGAATTAAGGTCAATAAAGTAAATAAATAAATGTATAATAAAGCCAGGCTTAAGAATGATGAATTTAGAGCACAAAAAAGCATGTAATAAGGAAAGCCTTGCAAAGGTGGTTGAGCATGCTAGTGGCCAAAACTGCCCGTTACAGTGGAAACATAAGCAGTCCAGGCGGAAGCAGATTCTCTAACACTGAATTCCAAGGCCAATCTCTCCCTGGTGACTGCATGAGAAGATGGGAAATAAAACAGTATCTTTAACAACATCCCTGCAACAGTCAATAAATACGTTTTGTGTACTCTGTGTTTTTAGAAATATTCCTGAGACATTTCTCCAAATAAACTTTCTTCTCAGTTTACATGAGGAACAGGCTTTAAAATTTTTTTTTGCTGCCTTTGGGATAAATCCTATTGCTTTACAGTTAAATCAACACTCTTCCCTTTAAAGAGTGTTTCATGGACTAACATGTCTCACAGAAGGGGAGACAGCCTGCTAACCCAGCAGGATTTTCTATTTGCAGTTTCTGGTGACCATGTGGGTTCCTGGCCACTCCGTGGAGTTTACCACCCCTTCCCACATCTCTGAGGCTTATCAACTCCTCCCAGATCCCAGCATGCAAGCCCTTTATGATAACTTACACTAAGCCCTGTTGAATCCACCTGGCATGACCACTTTCCTTCTGTGACAGGCACCCCACTGGGGCCCCGGAAGAACAAAGGTGTTCAACAGAAGTGTAACACAACTGAACACGTTTCACTTGAAGTTTACATTTTCCTCCCCATGGAGACCTGTTTCTGGGGCACTGAAATCTCGGGTTTTACAGTGCCAGTGATTTGGCACCACCACTCACCTCCCCATGCTGATGGGTCAGAGGGCAGGCAAGGCTCTGGGAATCAGTCCTCACACCATCACCGCAGTCCTCCTGGCGTTAGAGCCCTCCTATTCTAGGAAGCGGGAAAAATCACAAAGATAGCACACTCCAAGTAAATGTCGACGTTACTTATCAAAGGAGTGCTTAACTTATTATTTTGTTTTTTTAAATTATGAAAGTATGGTAACACATTTACAGGAGACTTGGAAAACACAGAACAAAGTTACACACAGTTCCACTATATATTACAATTATTAAAAAATAAATTGTAGATAAATGAAAAGTAGATAAATTAAGATTTTCAGTTGGAGTTTCAATATCAAACTCCCAAAAATTAGTAGAATGAATATACAGAAAAGTAGAAGGAAACAGGAGACCTGAAAAGCACCATGGACCAATTCAACATAATTAAGATTCATATAGTTTTTGCATAACAGTAGGATACAAATTCTGTTCAAGTTCTCAAAAGGGTGTTTAAATCCAAGCATACATAAACTGGTTCATGATCCCAGCATTGGAGCTCTCAGCAGAGTTTATTCCAAGCAACACACTTCTAAGTTAATTTCATGCTGTCAGAGATACAGGCCTAAATCGATAGAGATAATAACAGTCTGGCACTAGTTAATGCTTTCTACCCAAAAGCGAGTCAGTGACCCCAAAATAGGTCACCCAACAGTCTAAACTACCTAATGGTGCTGCGTGTTAAGGGAGATGAGGGGTGAGAGCAGGAGGTGGGCAGAATGACTGACTGAATAGGAATCTGAACTATCCATGCATCTGGTTAATCCAGTAGATCCCTCTTTCATGCACAAAGTCCCAGGTAAGGCAACTCGCTCCGAGTGAGTTCTGTCACCTTCACAGCGGCTGCCACTCCTCCACCCGAGACTCACATCCCAGACGGAACACGGGTCTAAGCAAGGGCTTCCTTCCGACTTGCTGGATCCAAACGACAAGAGACAGTGGGTCTCTTCCTTGGTCTTGTGGCCCTGCTTCACTGCTAGGCTCTCAGGACAGCTGTCTCCCCTAGTCTGCTTCTTAGCTCTTGATCAGTTCCTTCTCAGGACTCTCCACGTCTTGGTGACTCTGCACATCCCGTCTGTTCTGTTCCCCCTAGGTTTTCTGTCTTGGCTCCAATCTCCCCTAACCCTGTCTCTGTTACTTGTCATCTTCACTTATTGCTTCAATGATCTGATAGCAGAGAACTAACTTTCTCCACCCCAAGCCTCTTCTCTAAGTCGCAGATACATATCTTCCAGCACCTACTGATAACCCCATCTGAACATCGTGTGGACCTGTGAGAAACACTTCTGAAACTGAACCCTCCCACTGTGGCCCCATCCTACTCCTCCCATGCTCCTTGCTATCTCAATCCCCAAAACACTCAAAGCAGGAAACTAGGGAGCTGGGTCTGACCCCTCCCTTTCCTTCATCCTCCAGAGCCAATTTCTTGCGAAGTCCTTCCATTTCTTTCTTTCTTTTGGAGGCAAGGAATACGACTTTATTTGGAAAGCCAGCTGACCGAGAAGATGGCAGACTAACGTCTCAAAGTCTTCGAGTCCTTCCATTTCTTTAACCTGTTTCTCTAAAGTCTGTCCCTTTTCTTGTCACTTTTGCCTGAGGTCTCTTTCTTATCTCTTATTTTTACCTGGCCTAGCCGGACAGCAGCCTAACTAGTCTGTCTCCCACCTGCTGTCTCAACCCAGCAGCTACCCGATCCCTTGCTAATAGCTTCAGGCAGATTCTTTATCCTAAACTGACAGCCACGTCCCTGCTCAGGTCCAGGAGCCTGGCAATCCTCCAACGGCTTCCCTCCCATGTAAATAAAGGCCAAAGGCTGTACCCTGACTCCGGTCCGATGGGACCCCCACCTGACGCCGCTCTGACCCTCCCCCTTTCTCACTCCACCCCAGCCACACTGGCGTCCTCGCTGTCTTTCACCCACGCCAGGTGCTGTCTGGTCTCAGGGTCTCTGAATGTGCTGCTCCTTCTGCTTGTAAATAATCCATAAGGCTTATTTTTTTCCCTTCAGACTGTTACTCGATGGCACCTTCTCAAGGAGGCCTGCCCTGGCCACCCAACCTATAACTGCAAGCTCTCCATCCAGCTCCCATCCCTGAGTTATTTTTTCCCCTCAGCGTTTATGTATTTACTAACTTCTTATACAGTGCCAGGCCCTGTTCAAATGCTTTACAAATACTCATCTATTCCTCCTATCAATCACCAAGGTAGGTACTATTTGCATAATATTTTATAGATGAAGCAGAGAGGCTAAGTAATGTGCCTGAGGTCACATTGCTAATAAAAGTGATTATAAACAAAAGAGCTGAGATTCAGGCATGTGAATCCATACGCCTATCCACACAGCCTTCTAACAAACTGGTGTTTGCATTTCTCTTGCCCATGTGTCCCCTCCTCCAGAATGCAAGCCCCACAAGAGGCCAGATTTAGGTCTGCTTGGCTGGTGGCTACATTCCCAGCATGGCAACTCCTAGGAAAGACCCTGGCAAGAAGTCAAGCTGCAGAGTTCTGGGATTCAAAAAGGTTACGAACTTACACGTAATCTTCCCCAAACAAGCAGGAATTATGATAACCTCCTAACTGTTCTCTCTCACTCAAGAAAATGTCCTGTCTTTAGGATGGTAAAGGCTGTCCCACTTGATCTAGCCTTATGCTGTTCCATACAGCAGCCCCTGCCCTGTGTGGGTGAAGCAATTAAAATTAAAAATTCAATTTCTCCAGGCTCCAGATACAGAAAGCAAACTAAGTAGTTACCAGTGGGGAGGGAAAAGGAGGGAGAGGCAAGAGAAGGGTAGGGAATTAAGAGTACAAATTACTATGCACAAAACAGACAGGCTACAAGGATATATTGTCCAGCACAGGGGATATAGCCAATATTTTATAATTACTATAAATGGAGCATAATCTTTAAGAATTGTGAATCACTGTGTTGCACACCTGAAACTTACATGATATTGTACATCAACTCTATTTCAATTTAAGAATTATATACTGGGTAAATAACTGTTGACAGTAACAATCTTTATGTGTATAGATGCTTTTTTAATGAATGAAGTAAAATGTATTTAAAAGGGAGGGCAACAGTTCAGTCTGTCAGAGGCATGAGCCACATGTCAAGCGCTGCAGAGCCACACGCAGCCTCTGCATTAGAACCTGATCTGGCCCCGTCTCTCCTTCTAGTCGTATCCTCTGACTGACAGACTAGCCAGACCCGTTCCCTGTGCTCCACCATCCTAAACAGCCAAAGGTCACTGGAGCGCTCCCATCCCTCTGCATCTGCAGAACAGCTCTCTGGCTCTGGTCCGTGTGTCGGTGCTCCCAGGTGCTCCTCATGCTGCTGGTTCAGCATGATCCCTCTGGGAGGACCTCATGTCCTCATGTCCTCAGAGTACTGGCTCTGTACAGCAGTCGGCTACAATGCTACGCCTATGCTTCACTTTCTCATTACATGGTAAGCTCCTCAATAGGAGGAACAGCCTCTTATCCCTCTGTTTCCCCAGCGACCAGTGCCTGTCAACAAGTGACGACAACTACTGCCTATCTCATGGGTCGCTAGGACCACGAGACACAAAGATGAATCAGATATGGACCCAGCCCTTGAAGACTTTACAATGAGGTAGAGGAGACAAAACATACACACAGAGATGTTATAAAATAAAAAGGATTAATAATGCCTACCTGACCAAAGGGTAAAATCACTGTAATTATTAGTTTGGGTTTTGATATGGTGTCCATACTGTACCATGCACCCTAAACTTAGGACAAATGGTATTTGTGATTTAAGAGTTCACACAAAAAGGGAAAAAAATAAAATAAAAAAAAGGAAAAAAATGTCAATATAAATATGTTTTATGTAATTTTATATCTACTTTTAGTATTTGAATAAGGTGAGATTACTACAGCATACCTTTTATTAGAATACCAATGGCTCAAAGATTTAAATATCAAATAACCCACAAAAAAGTAAGATGAAAATGTAGTATTTATCTAATTCCAGAATAGGTTAAGACTTTCCTTCAAGTGATGTCAATGTCTCAAACTATAAATAAAAGACATCTACTCATGAGTTTGACTTCTGAGAGTTAAAAATAAGCCCTTCTGAAACACACAAGGCTTGGGGAAATTACATGCAATGTACATGACACAAAGTAAATATCCCTTACATGTAAAAAAGTTCCTATAAACAAAAAAGAGAAACACTGGAACAGAAAAATGAGCAAGGACAATTGGAGATGAACAGAATAAGAAATGTGAATGGCTGACAGAATCTAACTTCACTGGTATTTCAAGAAATATAAATAAAAACAAGGTTTTATCACTATCAGTTGGCAAAGATTAAAGTCTGAAGATACTGTGCTAACCAGTGGGAGGGGGAAAGGTTGCGAGTACCTCTGGAGAGAATCTAAATATGTACTCACCTTCTGGGGGTGTACAGGTAACAAATGTGAAAATATTAAACATGCTTACCCTCTGCTCTACCCATCACAGCAATTTGTCTTCAGGAAATAATAAGATAAATTCACTAAAACACATATAAAGATGTTCATCATAGTATTATTTGGAATAGCAAAACACTGTTACTGAGTGCCAAAAGTGCCTTTTGGGGGTGGGCTGCATTAAACACGGTCCATGTATGCAATGGACTACGATGTGACTATTAAACACGCTCACACAAAGAGGGAAGGAGAAAAGAGAGGACATTTCAAAAGAGAAATGTGCTGTAAGGATGCACCACAGCAAATGTAGGAAATGTTATTTAATCTGGTGTTTGTCTTAGGACTTTTTTTCCCCCAAATATGTGATAACCATGAGGATAAAAAGATATCCTTGTAAATCACAAAATTTGTGTTTAAAGACAGAGAGAAAATAGGACAGCTTGTAAGTTGCTGAAATAATTACGGTTATTTAGGATGATATTTATTTAGTATTAGCCAGGAGGCAACAGTATGGTAATGTGATCTTCAAATGT